TGCCAATAAAGGTGTTACAATCTCCAACCCAAAATCAACTGTAGCTGTACCGTCAGCTACTTTTAGACAAGATTCAAGGGAACCCAAGAGGGAAAGAGAAATGAAACATTTCGACCCTATTCCCATGACCTACAAAGAACTTTATCAACAATTTTTTTACACCCACGTAGTGTCACCATACCCGGTGGAATCCATGAAGCCTCCATACCCCATGTGGTATGATGAGAATGCTCATTGTGAATATCATGGCGGTGTCCTAGGGCACACTATTGAAAATTGTTTCGCATTCAAAAGAATCGTGCAGAAGATGTGTAACACGAATTGGATCGACTTCGACAACTCGAGGGCATCCAAATAAGCAAGAAGATCATTTCATTCCATCATGAAGCTTTACTCCATTTGCAGCATTTTGTTTGAATTTATTTTTCATATTTTCTCAGTTTTTTTTGTAAGGATATTTTAAATGAATTTATGCTGCTTTAAAGATGTCAAGCAATGAATCAAATTTGAGACTTGAAATTATTTGAATATTAACTGAATTAAAAACTTTGTAAATGGGTGGAGTTATAGATCTTTGACAAAGTATCAAGATTGAAAACTGATAAAACAAGGACTTTGACCTTACCCAGAAGATACGCTCGAACACCGTACCCTTCTCTTGCAAAGAACCAATATAGCCTTCTCATCTCATAAGGGAATAAACAAGAGGCTTGGTATTTAGGTATGTATAGGAGCAGACAACATGAGGCATCTTTTGCATATAACATTGTAAAATTGATTAAACCATACTTTTGTTGATGATGTTCAATGATGATCATGATCTTCATAGATGGAATAGTCAAGTAAGCAAATCTAGTTTAGGTCAGTTGCTCGGAAATTAAACTCTAAAGATGAGATTTCTGGACTTTTAACAACACCTAGACTAAAACAGGTTCTTCTTGACAAACTTAAGAAATTAAATTCGTATGCCCCGAATGTAATTAGATATGTATACAATAAAGCTGAGCTATTCCACTAAGGCAATTTATTATAGAGAATACTCAAAAGCCTTGGCTTTATGAATAGATTGCATTCAAACCATGACATTGCTCGAATACTTGGAAATTCGGTGTTTGCTCCATTGTAATTGTCAAGTTGAAGACTTTGTGATGAGATGAACCATTCAGTTAGCCTAATAAAGGTGATTATAATATTGAGTTTTCCCTCTAGAGCAATTGGTTAAACTCCCTGGCTTTATGGATAAGAATCAGCTAACCATTAAATCAAATTTATCTAAATAAGGAGTTTCGGCAAAGATGGACTAAGGGAGTTAAGGAACACCTTTTATAGTCAATTTCACACAAGCACTCAGGAATTTCATTTTTAGACCGATATTTTTGCATTGTCTTTATTAGAGGAGTCTACGAAGCTTGAACAAATGAAATATTTCAGAGAACCGAAATAGAAGTGTTTTGGAAAGTCTAGAATTTGGTTAATGGTTAATTCGGTTCGAAATCGATTAATTAACCGAAATTAAATTTTAAATATATTATATATAACATATGGGCTCAGCCCAAACCATTTAAAACCCAATTAATAATTTAAGATCCAATAACTTTTAAACCTAAATCAATATTAATTAATTAAAAAATTTATATAAAATTTTTATTTTATAATTATATATTATTTAAATTAATTGTAAATTATTTTTTTGAATTAAAAAATATTGAATATATTATATATAACATATGGGCTCAACCCAAACCATTTAAAACCCATTTAATAATTTAAGATCCAATAACTTTTAAACCTAAATCAATATTAATTAATTAAAAAATTTATATAAAATTTTTATTTTATAATTATATATTATTTAAATTAATTAAAAATTGTGTTTTTGAATTAAAAAATATTTAATTTTTATATAAATTATAAAAATTTAAAAATTTTCGGTTAATTCAAAAATTAATCAAATTTTATTCGGTTCAGTTAATATTTTCGAAAAAAGTTCGATTCGATTAACAGTTAAAGAAAAAAAAATTCGTTAATTCGGGTAATAGTAATTCGGTTCGATCGGCCACCGATTTAACCGAATGAACAACCCTAGGCAGAAGTCCGATTCTAAACGATGTATCCATTGATGCCAATGAAAGGTCTTATGTCAGTTGAAAGAGAGTGGTGGCCTTGGGTTCCAAGATATGGCTAAGTTCAATATAGCACAAGAAGGCTGGCGTTTGTTCACTAACTCGTCTTCATTTGTTGCTAGACTCCTAAGGGCTAAATACTTCCACACCATTGATTTTTTTGTCTTCGTGGCTTGGGTCCTCACCGTCATATATTTGGAAAAACATATAGAGTGCAAAGAGACTACTAGAAATGGGCTTGCGTTGGAAGGTGGGATTGGGGAATTCTATCTCTCAGTGGAATTATTTTTTGCTCCCAACCGATAGGCCAATTCGCTTGGAACTCCCACATGGTTGTAAACTAGAAACAATGGGCGATTTGATTGAGAATAGGCCGATGCTTTGGAAGGATCAACTCATTCTTAATATGTTAACCGATGATGTAACGGATCGCATTTTGGGTATTCCTTTATCCATGTACGAACAAGAAGATACTTGAGTTTGGTGTAGGGAGAAGTCGGGTTCATATAGTGTACGCAATGGTTACTGTCAGTTGATGGAGGTTGAAAATGGATTGCAAGAGAGGAAGGTCGTGTTTAAACACTTATGGCCTTGTTCGTGTCAACGTAAAATCGAGTTACATGTTTGATGATTCATTCATAATTTCATCCCGTCTAGACAATGTCTTTACGTTAAGATCATAATTAATAATCCTACTTGTCCAAGATGTAATGTTTGTGTGGAGTCTGGTGTTCATTCAATTAGGGACTGTGTGCTTGCCCAAGTTGTTTGGTGTGAGTTACAATTTTCAAGTCCGGCAATGGCCTGGTCGTCGGATTTCACGACTTGGTTAAAGTTGATGTTCAGTAATTACCTGAGTGAGAAACATGCTGAGATTGTGGTGGTACTTTGGGCATTATGGTAAGCAAGAAATCTACACTATCATCGAGGAAAATTATTAAGAAAAGAGGGAGTGATTACCCTTGTTCGAACCTATTGCAAAGATTTCACAGTGGCAAATGCAAAATTAGGGAACAACTCGTTGCCTCCCGTTGTGAGGTAGCAGACCCTATGTCCGCCGATGGTAAAAGAAAACTTCAATGCTCGTTTTGATCAAGCTCACCAACATGCACGGATATGTGTAGTTATCAGAGACAATAATGGACAGATTATAGATGCAAGTCGAAGATGAATTTCTCAGATTACCCCCGTTTTTATGGCCGAAGTTGTGAGTGCTGTTCTTACTGTCTCGTTAGCGGCTGACCTAGGTTTCTCCTAGATAGTTGTGGAGGGTGACTCGTTCAATCGTTGACAAGCTCAACTCAACAACACCAGACCGCTCGGAAATTAGCGCGTTGATCATGGAAGCACAAGGCCGAGAAACGTCTTTCCGTTCATGCTCTTTCTGGTTTTTCCCCCGGAGTAGTAATATGGCGGTGTATCTCCTCACTGATGAAACATCTTTGGGCTCATCGGAGTGTTTCTGGGTCGAGGAGGCTCCTTATCGGGTGGAACACCAGGCATTTGAGGATCGTCGGTAGATAGATCCGCCTTAGTCACAGGCGGGGAAGGTGTCTTGCTGATGAACTTTAGGCTCCAGTTGAGCAGGGTAGCAGAATAACGAACCGTCTCTTTTATTGTTTTGTTATTTTCCTAGTCTTTAGTGCTGGACGACTGTTTTCCACTTCTTTTTATGTTGTTTAATGCCGTGGGTTTGCTTTTGTACTGGACACATTTTGGTTATTTGAATAACATGGTTGGCAATTCACGTTTCAAAATTTTTTTCTTCTATATATCTAACTGTTTTAATTAGATATATGATGATTTAATAGTATATATTCCTATAATACTAGATCCATAAGGTGGATCTCATTTTGTATCATCTTATTTAAATTCATAATTAATAAATTAAATATCGATAGTTATATAAAAAAATATCTTGATAATAAATTAATAAACTTGAATTTAAGATAAGTTGAATGTATTTAGATTTTAATATTTTAAAAAATTAAAATTATTTGTATAACCTTTTGAAAATCAATTGAGGTAGTAAACTATAATTATATTTAAAACATTAAAATTTATATATCATATATATATATATATAATTAAATACAAATTATCATAATTTTTTATATTTTATTATAGTTTAAATATAATATTTTTATTAATTTATAAAATTGCATGTGAATAAAAATTATTTTCAAACTGAATCAATCAATTAAAAAATTTTGTAAAGGGATTGTTATTATTTCTTGAGGTCTGGATTTGAACACCAGGAATATTAAAGTGTGAGCATTCAATGTTAAATGATTAAGAGTTTTTATAAAATAGATATTGTCTTGTACTTATCACATATCAATAAAAAATATTTTAAAAATTTTAAAATTAGTATCTTTATTAAAATGAATAATTTAATTTTTCTAATATTATTTTTTAACATTAATAATTTATGAAATAATTAAAAAATACTTGTAAAAATTAATATTAAACAAACCTTTTGACACAAAAATGATTACATTAATTTTTTAAAAACTTTTTAAAGATAAAAGTTTTATTTTATTATTTAACAAAATTCTTTGCCAATTTATTTAGAAACTTTTAATTTTCGTGTTGTTCAAAAACTGTGAGAAAGCGGTAAAATTTATAATTACGTACCGTAGGCAAATTACGGTCTCATCCCATACCACTGCCGGCAACCGCCGTTTATTTTTACAAATCGCGGCCTTACGTCGACGATGAGAGACGACTGGGGCGATTCTCCTGAAGAACCGCAACAGCCGGAGCAAGATTCTAACCTCATTCGACTTTATTTCCCTTGTTTCCAAGCCCAAGGTAAACTCAAACCCTAGGGTTAAAAATTAAAATGTTGCGTAAAATTTAAAGGACGATGCTAACCGAAACCGTATGTTTTTTGAATTGCTTGTGTAAATGCAGGCTTATTATAAGATATTAGAAGTTGATTGCGATGCTACAGAGGATGCAATTCGCTCCAATTATATACGTCTTGCGCTGGTTCGATTTTTTCCCCTTTTTTTAAAGCTAAATTGATTTCATATATATATTCCTTTTGTTTATTAGTTTGAGGTTGTTTCTTCAGAAATGGCATCCAGATAAGCAAAAGGACGATGGGAATGGCGCCACTTCAAGATTTCAAGAGATAAACAAGGCTTACCAGGGTAACTGTCTTACATTCGCTCTCGTTTCTTCTTTCGGATTATGTGTTCGCCTGCATTTTGAGTAAATTTATGCTGTCTTCGAGTGTTTTTTTCCCCTTTACTTCATTTTTATATGGGCTTTATATATTCGTTTCATAATTTTGATGTTGCATATATTTTTTTAATTATTTGTGTTAGGGAACCATTTAATTTATGCTATATATCTTCCATAATCTGCATTTTCTTTGAAATATTATGTTCATGCCTTTCTGTTGTTGATGTGTTCATTAAGGTGTTGCATTAGCATCAGAAGAGGAGTCTAGGCCATTATAAGCTAATTCCCAATCATAAGGTGTTGCATCTTGTTAATTTTAATTTGCTCTTGATTGATTTTTGCTTTTAGTTTACAAATTCATGCCTTACCCTTCATATGGATTTCTTTGAAAGAATACGGTGTTTGCTCATATGTCCAGTATGCTCAATGCATATCCATGAGCAAGGATTTTAAATTAGGCAGATATAATTGGATATAATTAGACTTGCTGCAAATATCTTCATGATTCCTCTTTAGTTTCGGGTAAACCTTTTTCTTTATTTCCATGCATTTCAATGAGGATGCACAATGACATACTCTTATGAAACGTGTTTGCAGTATATGCTTGCTATAATACCATACCAAATGTGAACTGTGTTCTCCCCCCACCCCCCAAAAAAAATTGTTTAACTGTGCAGCTACAATGTGTCATTTATAACAGTAGTTTATGAAATTATTTTTTGTGTTTAAAGTTGCCACACTGTTAATCCCTTGCATTGCTTTTTCTTAATGAGTTAAAGTTTTGCATAGCTGAGATAGTAGCTGGCAAATCTATGATCATGTTCTGTCTACTGGCATGAATTGGCAAATTGAGTTTATATGCTCAACGGTAGTTGTAGGCTTGAAGCTATAGTTGAACTGCCAACATTTGGTTAAAAAAAGATGGCATACTAAGAATATTGATATGCGTTTGAAAATGAATTTGAACTCTACCATTGGGTAGTTTACCTTCATTTAACTGTTCTCATTGATCCAGTCAAAAGGAATGAGTATGACAAGATGGGGATGTTGTATACATATGACTATGACATAATTGTAAGAATTTCTTCGTTCATACTTTGAAGTATTTACTTATTTGTACATATACTTGTATATGTCTGGATGGCTTAGATTTTAAGTTCTAATTCACTGGCTGCAGGAGTACCTTAACTGTTACAAAGGCCTTCTATTAACATGTAATGGTCTTGGGGTTAGGCAATCGGTTTGGTAATTCCCTTCTGTTTATTTTCACAATGCTCAATCTTAGAGGGACAGATTTGTTGATATTACAAACAGCGCTGTTGAGAATGAGAGCAAGCTTGATATGTTAGATAACGGTTGTGTATATGAAGTAGATAAATTCAAATAATCTGTAACATCTTTATGCTTGTCTGACTAATGAGGGTACGACCAAATGGCCAATGCATGCTAGCAGCTTGTTAATTTATTAGCGTTCTAGTCCTTATTTAACCTTTAGACAGGACCTAATGAGAAAATATTATGGAACCAATTTACTATTACTAGAATGTGGTGGCGAGGGCTTTTCCTATTTTACTTGCTTGGTAACTTGGTAGATCAAACACTAATATTAGCCTAGTGAGTGGCTTAAATTTACCCAATTGAAGTGAGAAGTATCTTGTTAACTTAAACCAAACCAATGTAGAAATGATGTTGATGATATTTACATACTTTCTAGCATATTCAACATTTGCTGACATGAAATTTGAATCAATTTTGAGCGATATGTATTGGGAAATCTGTGCAGGTTATACAGAGCTGATTTTGAATTGCGTTCATTTCTAAAATGGCAAAAATAACGTAACTGATGAAGGCCATGTAGAAATGAATGTTACAACTGCTCTAAATGTCCTTATCAATAAGCGTAGGGGTAGGGGTGTTCATTTTTCAGTTTTAACCGAATTAATCGACCCAATCGATCCATTGAATTAGTTTGGTCAGGGAAAGGTTAATATTTTTTCAATATTTGGTTAAGAGTTAATTTAGTACGAAATCGGTTAATTAACTAAAAATATTAAATATATTAAATGCATATTTTACACTCAAATCCATTAAGAATTAAAATCCACTTATTTTTAACAACATTAGACCTATTAAATTATTAATACCTAATTAAATTTTAACCTAAATAAAAAATACCTTTACTATATTTGAGTTAATCTAAATAAAAATTTTTAAAAAATTTGGTTGGTTCAGTTAACCGACCTAAATTTTGTTCGGTTCGGTTAATGTTTAAAAAAAATCAGTTTGATTAATGGTTAAGGAAAAAAAGTTTGATTAATTTGGTTAATGGAATTCGGTCGGTAATCGAATTAACCGTTTGAACACTCCTAAATAGATGCAAGACCATTTTATAATTTGTTGACAGCTTATTATTATATTTCTTGTCATGCTTTTTTAATACAAATCTATGCATATTAATATGACATTAATTGATGGTTAAAAATAGAATTGAATTGGACAAAATTTATATTTTTTTCGTATAAATGTATACAAGGTATTTACACTCAATGATAGTAATGAATATTATTAAACTAGTTTTCTTACCTATATATTTTAATATTCATATTTAATTCTTAATTCTTAAATAATTAAATTACAATGATAGCTTTTCTTATGTCTAGTTATAGAAATTTAATCAATTTGGATATTGAAAAAAATAAGGTTTAATTACTTGTTTTCTCCCTTGTACTATAATGAAAATACAGTTTGGTCTCTGGCCAATGTTCAATGAACATTGAAAAATTATAAATTCTAAGAACTAGCAGAAAAATAAAGAGATTCTTAAAGATATTAAAAATAAAAATATAAAAAATCGTAAACTATAACAAGTCTTAAGCGTTTCAAAACTTTTTATTTTTTGAATATATGGTTTTTAAATTGTAATTATATTTGTGGGTTAAGTAATTAAACAATGCGATGAGATGTACTATGGTATTTTAAGGCTCAAAATTATAACAAGAAAAAACTATAACATCTAACAAAGACTATAATATTATAAATTATAACAAATTAAAAACTTATAGCAAATTCAACATACATATTAATTTAGAAACTTTAAAATAAATTTAGCAATTCAAAATTAATATGAATAATAGATCCAGCAAGCATTTATATTAATCTAAAAAATAAAAATTGAAATAACACTAAAAATAAATCTAACATGAGTGTATGATATTGTGAAAACTAAACAAAAATTATTATATAGTAAAAATAAGGAAACTTACAAAAAACTAAATTATTTTTAAAAAAAATAACTTAATTTAGTTTATTACGTATTCTTCATAAAAATTACTTATAAATTATATTTAAAAAGATAATAATACAAGAAAAATCATATTTTATAAATAAAAAATTAAACAATAAACTAACAAAAAAATTACTTGAAGGAGGGTGTAAGAAAAAATAGAGATTTTTTTTTTCATTTTTTTTATGAAAATATAATTAATTAGAGAAAATTAAATTTGGATAATGTTGAAAGAAAATGAAACTTATCATATCCGATTTATTACTTATGAAGATTAATCTTTTTAAAGTTCATAATTATTTTTCTCATAATATCATATCTAAAATCTTAATCCAAATTATCTCTTATAATGTGTGTCCAACAACTGTTAGTAAATTAATTCAATTTTTAATATCTTTTGCTTGTTGTTCGTATGAGGATATAACCTAAGTTTTTATATTAAGAGACGAATTTATAAAATTTTAGAAGATAACAAACTTATAAACTTTTAAAAGACAAAAATCAATTATCAATTAGAAAGTATAAGAATCTAAAATATATGATAATTTAAATTTTTTAAAGAAAATTATCTCAACTCCGTCGATAATCCTTCTTAATAGGCGTTGCACTTGTTAGATAGGAGTGTAGGAGGTATATCATGGGAGCCAATCTACTATTAATGGCTACTTAATGGGTTGCCCAGTGCTCTCTCTTTCACTTGTTTTGGTAAATTGTTAGTTCAGACATTAGTGTTAGCCTAGAGGGTGGCTAACACTATTACCCACTTCAAGTGAGAGGTAAGATGTCATTTGTTAGAGGTGATACTATGAACAATCATCTGCATTTTAACTTCTTTGGTCTATTATTTTAATTCCAAATAATTTTACATTTTATTTAATAGATTTATAAAATCATTTTTAAAGATTTTGACTCTAATATTATCATCTGTATAATTGTATTATCATGTGTTTGAATATCGTAAATTAATTTTTTTAAATTGTAATTATTTGAAAGTAATAATATTGTTTGAAATCTTTTTTTAAATAACAGATAAAGTGTAGCTTGTAACACTCGTTAAATAATACTGATTTTTTATAAAAAATTTAAGTTGAGTCGCGTTTATGAAATTTGAGTGGAATAAAATATATTTATTCAAAATTTTATTCGAGTTTAAATATAATTATTTATAAATTTAGGTATTGATTGATTTCAATTTAAATAATTATCTCTAGTCATATATGATATGTATACTAATTTATTTATTTTTACATGTATAAATTTTTTTAATATTATTTAATAAATTAAATATCATAATAATATATTTATAATGATATTTTTGTAAGATTTTTTTTGAAAAAAAAGTATTAACGGGGTTTAAAGAGTAGAATTGATTAGAAAAAATGGAAATGCAATGATATGGTTTGCATTAAGATTCTGGCAATCCCAAGCCCAACCAAATTGATCCAACCCAGAGTCAGTCCTGTCCATCGTTAGATGGAATTAATTAAAAAATTTTAAAATAAAAATCATCTTTGAAGATGATGATGTTTTTAGTAACAGTTAGTTATTAGTATAGATAGATAAAAATGGTATAATGTTAAAAAATAATTTTCATATTTGATTAAATTATCATTTTGATTTAACTTTAGTATTTTGAATTTTAATATTTTATTTTAAGATAAATAAGATATTCTTTGAATGAAAATCGTTTGTCAACAGGCGTTTAATACTTTAAAATATGAGTCTTTTTGCTCTAAAATAAAACATTACGAGGTCAAAATAGTCTAAAAGAAAAAAATAAGGGTAAAAAATAACTAATTAATCAAATATTGGAGACAAAAATACTCCAAAAAGAAATAGATACTAAAACGATTATTTAACAACCTTTAAGGGGTGTCTATAGAGTCATATTCAAAAACCAATATACTGTTAAGGTATATATGTTGTCAATAATTAAGAAAAATTCTAAAAAAATTATCTTATAATCACTTTAACTATTAAAACAACATCACCAAAAAAAATTAAGTTCAAAATAATCAAACTAGTTGTAAGCACTCTACTGTACAAAATAAATTACAAAAAATCTCTATTTAAATATCTTTTTTTTAATAAATTTAGAGGGAACACGAGACATTATGTTTAAAATCTCTTAATTATTTAATAATAAATGTTTATATATTTAAATATCTTAATTTTTTTAATAAATTTAGAGGGAATATAAGACATCATGTTTAAAATCTCTTAATTATTTAATAATAAATGCTTATATATTTTGACATCACTTGAACATACCAATAGATTACTGATTGGTTCGTAGGTGAGCTTGTTTATACAAACAAGTTTTATTAGTAACTCATAAACTATAATATAATTGTTCGATTGGTAAAAAAAATTTAGTTACGAGTGACACTTAATTTGTTCTTAATATATCCCAAAATATTATCACAAATAAGAGTATGAAACGTGACATAATTTTATTGATATTATATATTTTTGGGGTAAAATATGAAAAAACATGGATGATTTCGGTATATGAAAAAAGCTCGAAGGACCAAAATTTTAAAATTGAAATATAGTTTAAGGGCCAAATTACTAATAAAGCTGTAAAATTATAGCTACTTCTTTCTAGTTTGCTGGAACTGAGAGAAAGCCGCCAAATATAATATAATTTGAAAAACCCAAAGGCAAGCTGCAGAGAACGGTGAAAAGCGCTGGGTAAATTCATGTTTAAAACGCAGCGTTTCGATCTGGCTCGGGTCGCACTTACAACCCGATTCCATTTTAAATTCTATAAGATTTCCTATTGTTTTTCAAATAGAATATTCACTACTCAAAATCAAATATTTGTTTTAAAAATAGGGTAAAGTATAGTGATGATCACTAAAGTTTGCATTTAGGTTCCCAATTTTTAAAACTTGCAATACAGTCCTCTAACATTTAGTCTGTTTGTAATATGATTCCCGACGTAACCGGCTGTTTGACGCCGTTACACTCCCGTTAGTCCGTTTGCAATATGGTCATTGAACTTTTCATGTGCTTGCATTTAAGTCCCCCAACTTTTAAAACTTGCAATATAATCCTCAATTTCATTCTAAACCCCAAATTCTAAAATAATTCAATTACATTTTAAACTCTAAACTTTAAAATATTTCAATTTAGGGTTAATAAT